TTTCGCCTACCTCAATATGGGAGTGTTACGCCAAATCTAAATAAAATTTAATGAACCTCCATTAGCCGACGTCTGCAGCACATTGGTGCAAATATATTTCATCAAGGATATCACGTTATACTTATTTATGCATTTTGCCTCACTTCAACGGTGATTTTTAGAACTTTCATACATGAGTTCATAGTTGTGGACGAAAGAATCAGATTAATATTATATTTTGTAAAAAAACTCACTTTATATACCTAGCAGGCTGAATATTAGAAATAAGTATTGTTTGGACAACATAACTAAGATTTTGCAGTGGCCTGACACCTGTCCTATCTACTACACATCACGTTGCATTATTTTTCGTATGTAAATAATATATGCCTTGTATTTAATATGAGGAATATATTTGACACGCATACATCAAATGATTAAAGCATTTGTTATATCCAATTCGCTTGCATTAATTTAGATTTACTACAAATAGCGCACATACCTGTTTGAAAGTTTTTGTATTCTAACTCTTCTGTATGCTTACTATAGTAAAGTCTCTGACCTTATTTGTGTTTTGTATATGTGAGTGTTTAGAAGAAATATATACGGTTCTTTTCTACTTTGAAATGCCAAACTAGTAGAACCGTAGAGACAGCCATACGACTTATTATCTTGTCTTACTTTCTAATTACAGTAATCACAATAAAATAAGGCTGCATAGTGCTAGATCAACCTGGTGGTTTCAGAAAACTGAGAATATAGCAGAAATCAACTCCCGATGCAGAACAAAAGCTCAGCCAAATTAAAATTTGAGATATAAATTCACATGTTAAGCAAGCATTAATTTGATTGCAACTAAGCAAACGCGGTTTGCCGAAGCCAACGCTGATAAATCAATTCAAGCAAGAGGGAGACGTAAACAGAGTAAGAGGTCACTAAGGGTGCCAAACTATCAAATTCGAGATTTCTGCGTTTATATACCTTAACTAATTGGTATTTCGGTCGAAGTTGGTTAAAATAGAAGTGAAAGCACAAGTAAGCTAATACGATAAAAGATTAATCAATAATAAACGTGTAGAGATGTTAGGTATTTTTTGGAAGCAGGCAAGATGAAAAATACGCAACGCCTTCGCCGGGAATTGAACCGCGGATGTCTCAATTGCGCCCTGTGCGTGCAGACTACACCAAAGGCTCGCTAAGAAGGCGAAAGAAACACCTTAGAAACATATAACTAAACAGAGTACCCGTTGTACATGGACACTGAGAAAAAAAATCATTGTAAGAATAATAATTTAATTCGCATATTTGAAATAAAATTGCTACATTTTTAGATGGGATAAAGCCTCCAAGTATTTAACTTTATTTGGCCTAATTTTCAAATTATAAAAAAAATATGTCGCTAGTTTTAACTTTTAAAAGTACTTCGGCAAAGCCCGTCTGAAAATTAAAAGGTTATAGTTCTTTGTCCGAAGCTTAAAAGGTTATAGTCCCCTTTTTATTGAACAGAAAAATTTTAATGTACAAAATTACTCATAAATAAAGTAACATGGATATGATGAATTTAATATTAATTAAAAGGACACTTACTTTAAAAAAAACTGAATCTTTGAATCCTGAAACATCTTTTCATGAGGGCTTCTCATTTATAACTTTGGGGAATTTGAATTTTTTTAATCAGCTTATTAAAGACATTTATTTCCGAAAGCGATATCGCGTGTTGAAATGTAATTTTCTCTAAAGTAAAAAATTAAGAAATTTTCAGCAGCAATTTATTTATTTAGAAAAAGAATTGCAAACGAGTCTTAACGAAACATTTCATTTTCGTTTTCCTTCTTATTTCCAATTATAACGTTTAATTTTCTTTCCCTTTAAGCTAGTTTTCTTTTCATTTTTGAATCTTTTAAAATGCGTGGAAATTCTCTCATTTGTGTATTTTTCTTAACTTCCGCGTGATTTCCAACGTGTTTGTGAAAATTAAAACAGTCGAATGCGACAGTAGGAATCTGACGATGACATGCTTGTCGTGTTTGGCGCTCATTATTTTAAATGGAATGTTTTTACGCTTGTTAATCGGAACTGGAGTATGTGTCTAAACATTTTACGTTAAGAGAAAGACACATAAAGAATAGGACAGTTTATTTTGCTGACGTTATTTAAACAAATAACCAATAATCCTGTCAATTAATATTCGGATTATTAATGTGTGAAGTAAAACTTCATCAACGGAAAAACTAATTTTTTTTTCATTTGGTCAATGAATTATTTTTTAAATGTGTTCATAAGGTTTATTATAGTTAGCACATTTTTTAAATCTGAATTCTTTTCTATACCTTCTATTTCTTATGTCAGAGAGCACTAGCATTTAAAATATGATTAATTTTAAGTGGGGAAAGAATTTGTAGGTAAAAGAGAGAACTGTGGCAACACGCCAATAAAGTAGCAAATTCTAAGATGTCCACTAAAGCCAGTCTGACCATTTTGGGTTTGGTTTTTGTATTTGTTAGCGTACAGGGTTAGAATTTATGTTAATTAGAACAGAGTCAATTGTTCAAAGCTAAATTGCTTTTTAATTACTTAAATAGTTGATTTTTCAGTCTCTCTGCAAGTAGTGGCTTATATTTGTTATTTTTTTTTATACCACAAAATGTAGCTAGCTCATAATGAAACTTTTTAAATTTTTCTCTTGTCTGCGATCTCGAACTTATATGGGTTACGTGGGAAGATGATAGTCTGTCGAAAATAGCTAATTAGGATTAACCTCACATACTTACTTTTCGATATTTTCTGGAAATTTCGTTTCATTTAATTCATTAGTATTATAATTTAACCATAACATGTTTTATTTCAGATCCGGAAAAACGCAGTTGAATATTTTGATAAATATGAATTTAAATTTTATAGAAGGTTTCTTTTCAAAGAAATAACTTACAGATTAAATAAACAAAAAAATATTTTGTTTGTTTTACTAAATGAAGACATGTTTAGTTTCAAATTCCCTCCTTCAATATTTTACAATTTAAGATATCCTGTATAGATCTTTGATAGATGAAAAAATCTGAAGACGGTATTATACATATTTATACTTTCACAAATACATGGTATCATATATGCTATTTCTACAGTTATGTGTTTTCAAAGATAACAGGGAAAATTTAAATGCAAAATCCTTCTGATAAACGTCTATGATTCATATCCTCAGGAGAAATAATTTTTCATCCCTAATTTTTTGCACATTTTAAATGTTAATTAGAATATGATATTAATTATATTGTAATTAAATGACATTTAAAATGCTGTTACTTTCATTTTTGACTTTTGATACTAATTAGATAAAAATACAACTGAAATGTGCACTTAATTTAAAAATACTGGAATATTTGCATCAACAGTAATTTTTGAGTGAGATAAGATGCTCGTAGGTAAATATATTTTGTTAATGGTGTTAGTTTTTCATACTCTTTTACACCATTCCATTTACGTATCCCGAGTTTTGCAGTGGTTTTTGTTTTATATGCAGCCCAGTTGCACTACTGTGTATTAAGAAGTTCATGGCAAAAATCTGAAGTATTGCACGCTGCTACGCATTATTTCTCAACAGCAATTTGAGTTATGTTTCAATAAACTGGAAATAACCATTATGCATACTCATAAAAATTATTTACAAGCTAAATTCGTATAAACCTTTCCTTTTTCTCCCTTTCCTTTTCATCTCCTAAAGCACACGATATTGATAAGTGACATCTATGGTGAGAGTTTTGTGATGAACATTTCATTATTGTACTCTATAAATTTCAAAATAAACGACTCTGTAATTACGTATTCATAGACTATTGCTGAAAGCTCTGAAATTGCAGCTGTATAACATTTATAATCCTTCAGCATTCTCCAAACAAAACTAATTATCACAAACAAAATTATTATGTGTATGTTTAAAACTATTGTGCAAATGAATCTCTATGAACAGTTGTTTTATTTACTGAGGTAGAGCACATGATGTGCATTCTTCCCAAAAGGAACGGAAGCTATCATGACATGCTCTGAGGCAAATCGAATTCCACAGGGCTATCTGCTTAAGAGGGAATGCCTTCGTGGAGAATTTTCTTAAGAAAACTAACTCATACTCATGTTGCATTTGGGGAAATCCACGAAAGCCAATCATGCAGCCAGCCTGTTTATCTCGGCAGAAACCCGGATCAAAATGCCAGTATTCAACGGTCTTTAACCACCTAGCCATTTCTGAGGCCCTATAGGGAGAAAACCATAAAAATGTTCCTGATGCCAGTTCATTCGTAAGGTTTTGAACTCGGTCGAACTACCAATGTTCAGCGATGTTATCCAATAAGTCGCTGTTTCGCCTGTTTCTGAAAGACTGTTCATAGATGTTTAGTTTTAGTTTTCTGACAGCCTACTACGTTAATGTAAGGAATTTAATTCAAAGTAATTTTTACCAGTAATTTAAAAATAGTGTTAACAAGAAAGATATCTTCACAGTTGATTTACTATAAGAAATATACAAACAAAAATATATCCCTTATGTGTCATTTTTCTTAATACACATAAGGGATAGCATTAACTAAAATTGATAGGGAACATGACTATGAATCCATTAATGTTCCTAAAGATAAGTATATATGTTAAGACTTCCAATTCAGATTTCTGAAAATAATCCTTGCAACAGAAAAGTATCAAAGTAAAACAGCTCTGACGTATATTTCGAAATCCTGTATCTAATAAAATGTACTTTTTACCCTCATTAATTCACTTTATTTCTCACCTCTTTACAAGGCGAATTAATCTCTTTAATCTGAATGAATGTTTCGAAAATTCTTTCACGTTGGCGGTTTTGAACGTTTATAAAACCTTTAAAAGTAGTAGGGGGAAAATAACTTATTAATTAGAAGTTTTCTTTTTTGAAGGAGCTCTTATAAAATATTTGAATATTTTTATTAAAAACTGTTGTGTTACTAAAATTGTCAAAGTCTTTGTAACACAACAGTTACAAAGTATCAAACTAAAACATAGCCTTCGTGGTGTAGTGGTCAGCATGCTCGACGTGAAATCAAGAGGTCCTTGGTTCGAGTCCAGGCGAGGGCATTGCTCATTTTTCAGGTCGCTCGCATCAAAAAAAAATTCCTAATATCTCTATAACACAATCGTTCAAAACATCTCATATAAGAAAAGTAAAAGCGAAGTATATTGCAATAATTTAACCGAAATCTAAATTCCTTTTTTCTGCCACCATTAGTGGGAGATGTATTGGGGGCCTCTACGGAAGGATTCACTGTGAATAAACAATTTGATTTAATTGATAAAATTTCCAGTTTGGAAGCTCTATTTTGATTCATTGCAGAAATATTTTAGTTAAAATTAGCGCAGAAAAGCCTTTTCATCTAAATCATCAAAGATGGTTTATTTTTGCAAGGAATGACTTTTCTTCTTGCAAAGAATATAAAAGATATCGGAGAAGTACAAAAATGTAAGCAAATTAAAAGAATCAAAATAAAATAAGGTGATCATTTTATACGCAAATCCTTTCTATTCAAAGGTATTAATTACTACTTAAATGCATAGAGTGGATGAGCACCACCGTAGGATATCTTAATCACCGTATCTTATCACCGTAGGATTGACCGGTAGTCACGTGAACAATATTATAAGCATAATGCTTTTTTAATTAAGAAAACAATTACAAAACAAATCCTCGTGTTCCACGAAGCTTACAAATGGAAGTAAATAACTCGCAGTTCAATGAAATCAGTAATAAAGATTTAAAATCAAGTCCTCGAGAGAGAAAAGAAAAAATATAAAATACAAGTACTATAATATTAAAAATGTTAAAATACACCATGATTAATTAAACTACGTTAATAATCCTATAAAAGAAAATAAACCAACTCTAAACAATACAATAATAATAAATATGAAATTGTACTAAAAAATACTGATAAAAACCAAAAATTATACATCAACAATACATCAATACATAACGTAAAATCATACATCAATACATAATGTAAAATCATACATCAATACATAATGTAAAATCATACATCAATACCAAACGTAATCATACATAAACAATACGCAGAATAATACAATGACACATAAAAGGTAAAAATTCAATCATATAAAATAATATACAAGTTCAAAAAACAAATAAAATCGAGCAAGGCTGCAAAGACTTCATAACTCCTTACAGGATCATAGAAAACAAAATTCCAGCAAATAGAGACCTGCCCTCAACACACTTTAAATGCATTTCTGGCAGTCGCATGCAACTTACAATGCAATCAAATATGTTTCACAATTTGCACAGTATCGCCGCAAGCAGCGAGTCCACTAGTAACAATATCGAAACGAAGTAAGTAAGTTCCAAAATTCCCATGATAGGTCAAAATCTGAGTAAGTTTATAATCCGGTTGAAAATGCCTACACTTAACTCGCTGAAGAACACTTGGGAAAAATCTCTATCCAATGGGCCTTCGAAGAAGCAAGATATTCAGCACTCCAATCAACAACAGTTTTCTTCCAAGCCACGTGCTTCCAATAAGACTTAAGAGTAGATAACATTAAATCAATATCACGATAAGTCGCTGGCTAAGCAAGCGACTAATTAGTTAAGCTTTTATTACCAAGAACACCACCGTGGGCTTAAACGTAGTTAAAATGAATATCTGCGGTATGTCCAATTGTTTGTAATATGCAGTGAATTTCCACCACTATTTTTTTAGTCGATAGTTTATCACGTAGAAGAGAGAAAGAGAAGAAAATAAATCTGTGCAAATAAAAAATTAAAACGTCTCTTTCTTACGGAGAGAGTTTTGTATCCATTTAACGGCAAGATTTAAGCTCAGAACCTCGGGTTGTAAAACAGAACATAATCTGTTATATTATATTGAACAGTTACATTCTCCCTGCCATCTTCATAAATAGCAAATGAAAGGCCAACATTTCCATTTAACTTACCAATATCGATGAAACAAATAATACTATAGTCTTGAAAAACATTATTATAATAAGTAAGAACTGTCACAGGGTTTCTGTCTAATGGGAATATGAAAATCTGAGAAAGAAAGCATCTTATTCAAGTGATTGCAAGGGTTGTCATTAGGTAGTCTATTCTTAATATCCAGATCATTTAAGATCATTAAATCAATAGGCGTAAGACCAGAACTAATGAATGTTGTCTCACCACTAGTAGTCCTATAACCACGAATAATTCGGAGAAGAATTCTTTCTAGAACCCTTCTAAAAGTTTTACAGTTAATTTCTTCTCTGGAGAATTCCCCCAAGCTCTTGAGGCATAGGAAATGAGTGGTACAATGCATATTTTATTGTCCACAATAATTCCTAAATATTTTAATCCACTGCACATTAGCAATAGGCTAACTCTCGAGAGTTAAATCAATTTTATAAGGCAATACTGATTTTTTGGTATCATCATAACTTTCGACTGAAAAAGGCATGCAACTGAAAAAAAATGAAAATATTGATATAAAATATTGGCTCGAATTCAATGACTGCGTAAATTGTGTACGTCCCAAAAAATAATACATTACTTTTTGTATTGTTACCATACATATCTTTATCATAACCTTCTTGACCATCGGATCACCTGAAATGCAAGACAAATAACGAGTTTAAATCAAGTTTCTGCAGATATGTATTTTTAACAAAATTTTATTATTCTCATCAGCATTTGAATAATTTCATGACTATTCACGGTGACATATTATTGATTTTTTTGCCTAATAATCTGCTTGAAATAAAAGACTGCGCATCTTTGCTAAAAATTAATGCCAAATAAATTTTAGCTACGTCATGCAGTCATACTATTTCAATCTGAAGTAAATAGCATTATCTGAACTGATGTAAAAAATTCATAACATTGTACAACTTTCAAATTTTCATTAGAAAATATGAAATAAAATTAAATGAGCAATGCACTCACCGGGACTCGAACCTCGGACCTCTCGAATACGCCCCAAGTGTGCTGACCATTACACTACGAAGGTGGGAAAAGTACCTTAGATACCACCCTTTTAAAGGACGACTGGGGATTAAGGGACCCAATCGCCAAGTCCTGGTGGTGGGAAATTGTCATCCACCATCATTTTAGTTTGGGCGCCAATATAGGGAGATTAGGTTATTTGGAAGCAGAAGACATGAAAAATGAGCAATGCCCTCGCCGGAGCTCGAACCTCGGACCTTTTGAATACGCGCTGAGTGTGCTGACCATTACACCACGAAGGCGGGAGTAAAACCTTATAAGGTTACGAGGATGGAAACTTGTGATGCTTTTGTCTACTCTAAACAGACCTATTTCTTTCAAGATTATCTATTAATTTGCGCTTACGTAACAATGTCCCTACAGGTTCATTTTAGAAACTGTTGAGTCATACATTAAAATATTTATGAACCAAACTCCTGTCACTAATTGTAACTGCTAGATGCGATAGCTTACCGAAAAACTGCACTATATACTTGATCTTTTCGTTGAGCCCTTTTCAAGTAACGCTTTTCAAAAACATGCATATTCGTCAGCGATAGAACATATTTTATGAATTTAAACTCATTATGATTCATATCGAAAAATCAGACATTTTTTATAACAGAACCAATGAATTCTAACAAAAGAGTTCATGAAGTAAGATAATGTAAATTTATTCGCCGTTTTTTTTTTCCATTTCCAGGTGACAGTCAACCTGTAACAATTAGTGCCGTTCTTGTTGTCCTGATGGGAATCGTGGGAGCTTTGGTGCTGCTAGCTATAATAATAATCTTCATTATGAAAGCAAGAGGAGACAGAAGAGGTAAATATAATGTATACCGGGAGATAATGCTTTCCCATCAACTCTCATGTTTGAACACTCAAAATATTCATTATAAGAAGCTTCGTTTCTACTTGATTTAGAATTTAAGGTAGCCTCTTGAATTCGATTCTCATTTAAACAGTAATGTTTACTGTAGAGCTTTTACACATGGGGGACTTTAATAATGAAATACCTTTCCAGAGAACTTAGAGGATTGCCATTATTGAAATATTTCGCATGATTAATGTTATGAATGGTTTATAAGTACCAAACGTGTATGTGAAAGCATGCTATGATAGATATTATAAGCTCTTAAATTATACAGTAAACTAAAATCTGAAAGTGTCAGTGGTGCTGTGTCCTTAATTATCGAAGATTAGTACGTAATAATATAGTAATAATATTTATTATTATGCAGTAACGTGTTGTAAAATAAATAAGTATAATTTCGAAGTAAATTTATCAATGTGCTGAATTTTTGAAAATTTGTGGCATTTATTCTCGTAACAAATTTAAAAATTATATTAAAATTTTAGATGTTGAAGGAAAACTTTATAATTAACATTTATAAGGAATTTGTTTTGTCTGTCGGTGAGCGAAATTAGATTGATATTGAAATTCAATACAGTTAATAATTGCTTGAATGAAATTTCAAAACTTTTGTCTAAATTATACAGGGTAAATTCATTTTGCTTTTATTGTGCTCCCAGGTATAAAACTTCTTGTCATTGTATTGATTGTACCATATTCAATATTCCTGTTTTTACATGAAAACATTATTTCAGTGTATTGATCGAAATTTAACATGAGTTTTACTCTTAATTCATTCTTACCTGAAATTTATCTTTTGTTTCAACAACACTTTTTATGACGTTCGTGTGGAGAGTAAATTTTGGAAACATTCAATGTGTTTATAATTTAATTTCCATCGGAAGCGAAAGAAAATATTGACATTCATACAATAAGAACTCTAAATCGCGTCTTTCACAAATAATGTGCAGTTTCAAGACATCGGTTTCATTACCTGAAAAAATTTTCAGATATTCAACATTATAGCACTCCTCTTACTTTCCCGTTTAAATAAATGTATTCTTTATTCCCTTTGTTCATTTATTTATAATATTTCGTCGATTCTCAGCAGTGATTTGTATTATCTCATATAATAAAAACATATTTCTTACCAAAGAAATGAGTAAGCGGTAATTCGAATGACTAAAGTTTCAATTGCAATTTTTAGACATTCGAAATTATTGTTGAATAAGCGTTTTAAAATATATTAATCTTACTGAAGAAAAAATCGGACGTTCGGTTAGGCATTTCTAGTTCTTACATTATATGAACTTCATTTTTTTAAGTATCCTACTTTTCGTCATTATCAGTTCACAGCATATCCAAATATTTGAGGAATAAAAGTTTAATTTCATGCGAAATATATATCTTCTGTGCCTAGCAGTGTTTAATAATTTTATGAAAACTTTGGCTTTAAAACAATCCACAGATTAAAAAATTAGTATCAGCCTAATCAATAAATTAAATGCAAAGTTTTGGTAAAATACACACACACACAGTTGTTTAGTGCAGATACTTGATGCTTAAAGTGTCCGTCCACTTTGATGAAGAAGCAGTCGAGCCGAATTAAATTCTATATTTATTTAAATTCACATTTTGTGGCCACAATTCACTTGGTACTCCAATCGTGCCTATTTCCAAAACATTTTACAATTTTGATACTATAGCGACAAAAGCGAACAAAGATGACTAAAGCAAAGTGTCTGGCCACGAGGAAAGCATAAGCGAGGAGAGAGAGTGTCGCAGTACTTCAGAAGAGGAAGGGAGAGAGCCAAAAAAAGGTTTTGATTCACACTTTAATTTTTACTTTTAAATACTTTGATTGGGGAGGAGATATCTGCAATAAGGGTTACGTAACTTCGCATGATTAATTTGAATGACGCAGTTTAGAGTTATAGCGCTACTTCTAAGACAGAGAGAGGAAGTCCGAGAAGTTTGCTTTTAATTTTTATATCTTACACACACACACACATATATATATATATTTGCACAGAAGAGGAAAGTGCAAAATAGCTAATGGTTGAAAGTACATTTGATACTGCACTTCCATTTGATACTGCACTTCCATTTGATACTGCAGTTTCCAGAATTAAAAAAATTACACCAGGTATAAACAGTAATATAATACTAAAGCAGTAAAAATTATCGCGAAAAAAACCTGCAGTAACTGCAAAACGATATAAACTTCAAAAACAAAAACGGACTGGAAAAGACTAAAAAGATTTAAGTCAAAATTTTCATATTATGTACGCAAACAATCAAAAACATTTTAAAGAAAAAGAAATTATATACAAAGAATTTCAAAAATTGGTAAATTAGCCCGACTCGAGGTTTCACACAGACTTATCAAGAGAAAAGCGTAAGAAAACTCTCGAATCTAGCTAATACCATAGGCACTTTCGTCAAACATAGAATTATCAACTTAAATTATCTGAATATAGCTAAGTCTCAAATTCTTTGCTTCTTTTCCTGACGCGCCTGCAGTTTAAATTAAAATTGAACTTAAAGAGCAAAAGAGAACAAGAAAAATTTTTGTAAAAAAAAATTAAACTTGATACTGATGCAAGAAAAATCTGTACAAGGTAGCCTAGGTTGGCAAATGCACAATTTAAAATAAATAGCTTAAAAGCTATTAGCCAAAAATTGCACAATTTTAAGGGTTAGCCTTATTAATACGAAGGATAAAAACTGTTAAAAAGAAAATTAAAATAAAAATAAAAATAACGATTCAAAATGGGTCCTTCTAAGACCAAAAGCAAAGAATATACAAGAAAAAAACTAACATACCTGCGTCCATAGCATTGGCCTTTTCAAACTAAAGTGAGCAAAAATCGCTAAAGAAGGTTGCCGGAATTAGATGAATTTCAAAGAAATGCTTCCAGATTAGAAAAGCAGTCAAATTTCACCAATTAGGTGAAACGACGTGGAAGGGGAAAACAAACGTACTATAGCAGTAGCCAATGGTACGAAACACGCAGCGGGGAAAAAACAAGTTCCAAAAAAGGGGTTTCCGAAGATGAAAAACGGATGCAATTCTTACAAAATTTCGTCTTGTTCAAGACTAAGTCGTTTCAAAAGTGAAGACGCTAAGAAAATGGCGAAAACCTAAGAAAGTGCTAATCTGGCCAAAAGCAGGTTGAAATTGGAAAAAAAAAATCAGCAAAAAATCAGCAATTTCCTAGTAAAAGTCGTAATTCTTCGCTCTAGAGGGCTGACAAGCGAGTTCGAAACGAAATTGCCTCTTAAAATTAATGAAAGGATAGGTTTGACCAAAAAGCAGTGATATTAAATAATAAATTTAATAAATTAACTGAAGTTCTGTGCCAATTTAAAGACAAAAAAATTTTTGCAATATTAAGAAACTATGTTACAGTTTTACATTAGATCATTTGAATTAGACATCCATCATCTACCTTCCCTTGGAATTTGGGAATAATTTTCATATCTCCAATCCAAATAATCTAAAATAAAAGCTAAATGGCAGCTTTTTTTAAGGAATTTTTCGTGATTGTTTTTGAAATAAGATTGCTTTGCAAGATTTTCACGAAGTAGAGTATTTTGTCTCGGAGAAGGTCTGTGTTATTACAGATTATTTTAATTCTAAGAAGTTGTGAATTAAGAGTATTAATAATGACCCTTTAAGAAATGTTAGAATTCCAATTAGTGTGTTTGAGTGTATGAAAATTGAAATTTTTGCGTTTGTCAAAAATTTTAATAAGACTGTAATTTAGAATTTGAAGATCTAGGTAAACTATATCATTTTGTATTGCATGAGTAGTATTAAGTTTGAGACGAGTAGGATAAATATTTGCATTTTGAAGTTTGTTGAAGTTGTTAAAGGCAGTAACATCATCAATATATTGAAAGATGTGTTGGTAATATTTGTGTTCTTTATCATTAAGTGAATGTATAAATTTTAATTCTTGAGTGAAAAGGAAGTGTCCACAGATTGCGGTAGAGCAGCTTTCCCAATATGAATTCCCTGTACTTGTTTAAAGATAGTGTTATCAAATTGCAAATAATTGTTAAAAAGTATACTATTTAAGGATCTGGAAAAAAGGAGAGTAGTAGGCTACTATGAATTTCTTCTAAAGATAAAGTGGTATACAAGTTTTCGTAGTCGTCATATTGAATGTGCTCTATTTTAAGCATATTTAATACCTCGAGAATTTTTTCGTTATTATTAGTCATCCAACTGCAGTGTCGATCCTGAAAATCGAAATTATTAACAATATCCAGGACTAGTTTAAGTTTCTGGGCACAGAGATAATCAATTTCTTTTAAAAAACTTTTAGTACTATTAGCAATGTATCTGAATTTGACAGGAGTTTTATGAAATTTAGAAAGTACATAGGGATTAGCGAACTTATTATTCAATTTGTTGGGACAAATTTTCAGTCTTATATGTAAAGCAATAAATTTTTTAGAAGAATTTTATCGTTGGTAGAAACTTGTTGATAAGTGCTGGTGGTGAGCAACTCCTTTTGTATAAGTTCAATATAGAATTTTCTTCAAATGACACTGAAATTATTACTCGCCTTGTCTATTTTGGTGATGATGAAACGTTCTTATAGAAGTTTTATTTGATATTCTAGATGTCTCTTACAGTACATTTCATTAAAACTGGGTAGACTAGAAAGCATTTGTTCAAAATCTGTAAAAACGGCAACTTTCCATTCAAGAAAGGTAGTCGTCGGTAAGTTAGTTCGATAGCTAGCTAAAATAATAAATTTATTTAAATCATTTCGGAACTGCTTCAAGGAAAATTTCTTATTAAGATAGAAAGTGGGACGAAATTTGGTACCAAGTTGCATGAGTTGTGGCAAGTTACAATCTTGAATGATGTTAAGATCACCTGTGACTATGTAATTTTGATAAGGATCCACATAGTTATAGTAATCAAGGAAATGGCAATCACATTTGCTATTAGC